GCACACGAGTTGGCATGCACTGCATGTCTCATAAAACGTTAAAACATGTAAACGTCTGGGAGAATGAGTAGAGCGCACATATATCTGAATAAGAGTGACGACGCAAAAAAAAAAAGCTCTATTCGGTGCGGTTCTCTGTGCGCACACACGACCGAAGCGTCCAGCCATAGACACAATACAGCACGCGAGGACTGAATTAAGCTCTCTTTCGTGTCTGAATGGACAAAAAACACACAACATTATGTCTAAATGTCAGTTTAGGAGAGTATTAACTTAAACTATGTCGGTTATGTCTTAAACAGTTGTGAGTGTATGTGCATCAGTGGATCAGCATGTCATTGGACATGATCCGACGTCTTAAAGTGACAGTGGGCAATAAACCTAATGCGGTCTGTGTCCTTAATATTGATCAAGCAACAAAAGAAAAAGAGAAAATCATTCACTGCTCGTTAATAGCTTTAATAAGGATTCATTATATTTAATTCATACAAATAAATATGTCTGCTGCTTGAAAAAATAAAGAATGATGTATGCAAGTTAAAAAGAATGCATATATCATTAATTGGAAAGAAGACTGTTCTATTCTAGGAAAAGTGGTTTTATTTAATTTTAAGATATTTTTTTTAAGTCACAGTAGTTAAATCTGTATCTGTATTGCATGTTCAAACTTTAAAATCATTCATATTAACAGGTTAATGTTTTCTCCGGAACAAAGACCTCAGTCAGTACAAAGACTGAGACGGAGACACAGATTTTCCCCCAAATTCTGTGTTCTAGAGAAGTCATATTACACTTTTTTAAAGCCCTTTCTCTTAATAACACATTTCCAGATGATCAGCTATGACACATTACCGCTTTGAGAAGTAGTCACCAGTATTTATTTGTTATTGTTTAATCCAACCATGTAAAAAAAAAAAAAAAAAAAGATTTGTTCTGCATGAATACAAAAAAGCATTTAACTCCTTTTATTTTTTATTTAATCTGTTTTTTTTTACCTATTTACAGATAACTACTTTGAATGGAGCTAACTAAATATTATAATATATATCATAAACACTTTAATGGTGTTTTTATTATGTAACTAACAACTATAGATGTTAATAAAGTACAGACACAACATTTTTATTTTGGGACGGTTGACATTCACTTTAGGACGGTTCAAATTGTTTATCAGGACGGTTTCAGGACGGAGGTGAAAAAAGTTAGTCTGGAGCCCTGGCTGGTACTACTCGACCTCAGCGCTGCATTTGACACTGTCGATCACGACATACTTCTTGACAGGCTGGAAAACTGGGTGGGGCTTTCTGGGATAGTCCTAAAATGGTTCAGGTCATACTTAGAAGGGAGAGGTTATTATGTGAGTATAGGAGACCATAAGTCTGAGTGGACATCCATGACATGCGGAGTCCCTCAAGGCTCAATTCTTGCGCCACTCCTATTCAACCTGTACATGCTCCCAATGAGCCAAATAATGAGAAAGAACCAAATCTCTTACCACAGCTATGCAGACGACACACAGATCTACTTATCCCTATCGCCTAACGACTACAGACCCATTGACTCCCTGTGCCAATGCATTGAGGAAGTAAACAATTGGATGTGCCAAAACTTTCTTCAGTTAAACAAAGACAAAACTGAAGTCATTGCGTTTGGCAACAAAGATGAAGTTCTCAAGGTGAACGCATACCTTGACGCTAGGGGTCTAACCACTAAAAATCAAGTGAGGAATCTGGGTGTGTCTCTAGAGTCAGATCTTTGTTTCAGTAGTCATGTCAAATCAATAACTAAATCAGCATACTATCATCTGAAAAATATTGCAAGAATTAGATGCTTTGTTTCCAGTCAAGACTTAGAGAAACTTGTGCATGCTTTCATCACCAGCAGGGTGGATTATTGTAATGGACTCCTCACTGGCCTTCCTAAAAAGACCATAAGACAGTTGCAGCTCATACAGAACGCTGCTGCCAGGATTCTGAGCAGAACCAGAAAATATGAACACATCACACCAGTCCTCAGGTCTTTACACTGGCTCCCAGTTACATTTAGGATTGATTTTAAAGTATTATTACTGGTATATAAATCATTTAATGGCCTAGGACCTAAATACATTGCAGATATGCTCACTGAATATAAACCCAACAGATCACTCAGATCATTAGGATCACATCAGCTAGAAATACCAAGGGTTCACTCTAAGCAAGGAGAGTCTGCTTTTAGCTATTATGCCAGCCGCAGCTGGAACCAGCTTCCAGAAGAGATCAGATGTGCTCCTACAGTAGTCACATTCAAATCCAGACTCAAGACACTTCTGTTTAGCTATGCATTTACTGAATGAGCACTGTGCCACTGTGTCCGACTGTTTGTACTTTATTTTATTTTATTTTTATTCTAAACTGCTTTAATTATTCTTATTTCTTTTGATTATTTTAATCTCTTTATTCTTAACTGTTTTAATTATTCCTATTTCTTTTGATTTTTTTATGTAAAGCACTTTGAATTGCCATTGTGTATGAAATGTGCTATATAAATAAACTTGCCTTGCCTTGCCTTGCCTTCATGGCCTCACTTGTTTTTTTACCAAGCAGCGGTACAGCGTCATCACCGTCTACCACTTGGAACTCGAGCTGGTACAGTTTCTGGTTTCTAGGATTTCTCAGCTTAACTTTACATTTTCCTAGTGGTCTCAGTCTTCTCTTGTTGTACATGAGTAATACCCTGTCTGTGTGTTCCAGTTTTGTTTCCGGGTTTATCAAATGGATCGGAATAATGTTGCAAGTGGCACCACAGTCAATTTGGAATTTCACCATGTCTGTCCCAAGAAGCATACATGCAAACAGCTGGGTGTCATCTGTTCTGCTCGTGCCCACTGCATTAACATCCTCAGCCTGTGCTTCAGTCACACACAGGATTTCCTCATATTCTTCACTTTCACATTCTGTTACATTATGTACAATAGTCTTTTCTCTGTGTTCTGGTCGAGCTCTACATTTAGCAGCAAAGTGGTTGTCCTTACCACATTTTTTCCACTTCTTCCCATACGCTGGGCATTTCAGCTTGTTTTTATCATGTGTCTTACCACAGAACGTCTCAGGTTACGACTGTAACCATAGTTCCCTGAGAAGGGGAACGAGACGATGCGTCATCGACGCTTTTGGAACGCCCCCAGCGTGAATGCGTCTGAGCATCAATGTCAACTAGTCCAATGGAAAGAATGAGCGTCACGGGCGGGTGACGTCATGACCAGGAAGGCATAAGAGCACATCCGGTGAAACGCGGCATTAGCTTCAAAAGTCGAAGCAAGCCGATCACAGGGATGCAGGAAGTATGGCAGGGTGACGCATCGTCTCGTTCCCCTTCTCAGGGAACTATGGTTACAGTCGTAACCTGAGACGTTCCCTTTCGAGGGAACTCGCGAAGCGTCATCGACGCTTTGGGAACGAGAATACCCAAAACGCCAGAATTCCAAGTACCTGGGTGTTAGTCTGTTGGAACTAAGCACTAAGCACCTGAGAACCTGAGGCAGCATCCAGGTCCAAACTGTAAAACCTGACGAATGTGAGCGGTGAGGACCAGCCTGCCGCATCACATACGTCTTGAAGAGAAACTCCAAATAATAAGGCTTTAGAGGCCGCCATACCCCTCGTAGAGTGAGCTCTGACCCCCAAAGGACACGGCTGGTCAGAGTACTCGTATGCAAGTGAAATAGCCTCAACTATCCACTTACTAACCGTCTGTTTAGAAGCAGGAAGACCCTTCTTAGGTGATCCAAAGCAAATAAATAACTGGTCGGACTTCCTCATAGACGATGTCCGATGAACATAAGTATCCAGTGCTCGCACTGGACACAAGAGGTTCAGCCTTTCCTGGTCCGCAGATGTAAAAGGAGGAGGACAGAAAGCCTGCAGCACGATAGGCCTCGGAATCAAGGTCGGCACCTTAGGGACGTATCCCTGTTTTGGATATAAGAATGCCTTGACCATCCCCGGTGCAAACTCAAGGCAAGTGGGGGAAACCGAAAGGGCCTGAAGGTCTCCAACTCTCTTAAGGGACAAAATAGCTAGCAGAAAGATAGTCTTAAGGGTAAGAAATTTCTCTGAAACCGAATCTAAGGGCTCGGATGGAGCCCTAGACAGGCCTTCTAGTACTATTGCCAAATCCCAAGCTGGCACCCTAGTGCGAGATGCAGGCCTCAGCCTCAATGTGCCACGAAGGAAACGTGTAATCAGGTGGTCTCGACCCAACAATGTACCCCCCACCAGGGCGTGGTAAGCCGCAATGGCCGCCACGTAAACCTTAAGTGTGGAAGGACATAAACCTGACGTAAAGCGCTCCTGCAAGAACTCGAGTACTGTGTTCACAGAACAGTTAACCGGATCCCACTGATGTCGGTGACACCATACAGAAAAAACTTTCCATTTCAGCGCATATAGTTTCCTAGTAGCTGGAGCTCTGGAGCTTAGAATGGTCTCAACAACCTCAGTTGAGAGACCACTCTCTATGAGTTGGGCCCCCTCAGAGGCCAAACCCACAGTTTCCAAATCTCTGGTCGGGGGTGAAATATTGTGCCCCCGGCCTGAGACAGAAGGTCTCTCCTGATCGGGATCTCCAAGGGAGAACCGTCTAGGAGATGGATCAGGTCCGCAAACCAGATCCGACTCGCCCAGCGTGGTGCTACTAGCAGTAGGCTTATACCGTACTGGCGGACTCGCTCCAGAACTCCTGGGAGCAGAGCAACAGGGGGAAATGCGTACAGACGTAGCCTCGGCCACGTCTGCACCATAGCATCCAGCCCCAGGGGGGCTGGGTGAGTAAGGGAGAACCAAAGTGGACAGTGCGTCGTATGCTGAGACGCAAACAGATCCACCTCTGCTTGGCCGTAAAACTCCCAAATTTTCTCCACCGCCTCGGGGTGGAGTCTCCAGTCCCCTGGCCTCAGCTCCTGCCTCGACAGGATGTCTGCCCCAATATTCTGGTCCCCAGGAATATACACTGCCCTCAGGGAGAGTACCTTCCCCAGAGACCACAGGAGGATCTGGTGCGCCAGCTTGCAAAGCGGACGCGACCGCAGACCCCCCTGACGGTTCAGATAAGAGACCACCGATGTGTTGTCTGTACGGACGAGCACATGATGGCCCCTCAGGTCTGGGAGGAATTGCTTCAATGCATTGAAGACAGCCATCATCTCCAGGCAATTTATGTGCCAAGAAAGATGATAACCCCTCCACCGACCCTGAACCGAGCGGCCTTCCATTACCGCTCCCCAGCCGGTGAGGGAAGCATCTGTCGAGATCGCAACTCGATGGCAAAGAGCTCCCAACACCGGACCCTGGGTTAAGAACCAGTGTTTCCTCCATATAACCAAGGCACGAAGGCACCGCCGCGTGATCTTGATCATACGAAGTGGGTTTCCCCTCGGGGAGAACCCTCTGGTCCTGAGCCACCACTGCAAAGGTCTCATGTACAGCAGGCCAAAAGGTATCACGTTGGACGCTGCTGCCAAGAGACCCAACAGTCTCTCGAACTGTTTTACAGTGCGTGACTGGCCTAGCCTCAGCTCTTCTGTGGCTGCCAGGATAACAGCTACACGAACGGGCGATAGAGTGGCCCGCATCGTCACTGAATCCCATACCACACCAAGGAAAGTGGTTATCTGTACTGGAGATAGAACACTCTTCTTGGCATTGAGCCTCAACCCCAACATCTGCATATGAGCGAGAACGACACCTCGGTGCCGAACCACCAACTGCTCTGATTCCGCTAGAATCAGCCAGTCGTCGATGTAGTTCAGAATACGCATGCCCTGAAGCCTGAGTGGGGCTAAAGCTGCATCTACGCATTTCGTGAACGTGCGGGGTGATAGAGCTAGACCGAAAGGAAGTACCCGATACTGGTATTCTTTGCCCCCGAAAGAAAACCTTAGGAACTTCCTGTGCTGAGGGAGGATGGAGACATGGAAGTAGGCGTCCTTCAGATCTATCGTGACAAACCAGTCCTCGGATCTGATTTGAGTCACGATCTGTTTGAGTGTCAGCATCTTGAACTTGAGTTTCTGTACTGAACGATTCAACAGACGAAGATCTAAAATGGGACGCAACCCTCCATCCTTTTTCGGAACAATGAAATAACGGCTGTAAAAACCCGACTCTCTGTCGGGTGAGTACACCTGTTCTATAGCTTCCTTTACTAACAGGGCCTTTACCTCTTGCTCCATTACCAGAGCCTGCTCGGGATGCACTACTGTGAGCAACACCCCGTTGTAGCGAGGAGGACGAGAACCGAACTGCATTCTGTATCCTTTCTCTGCAATCTGCAGGACCCAACGAGAAATATTTGGCAGTAGCTTCCACGCTGCCAGAAAATCTACTAAGGGAACCAGCCTCTCGAGGCTGGTCTCTGGTGTTAACGAGACAGCCAGTTCTGGAGCCTGAAACATAATGGCAGGAACTACCTGAACTGGCTGCTCTAAAACCCCCCTCAGAGGGCGCGAAACCGATGCAGTGCCGCAGCATAGCATCAGCGACTCGCTGGAGACCGCTGCGCCCCGAAGCACCAAGGGTGGCGGGGTTGGCAGAACGGTCCCGTGAGGACCCCGAAGCGGAACGGGCACCGTATTCTGAGGTGTACACCGCTCCACTTCGGTCGGGGCCGTCCTCACAGGTCTGACGCCATTGACGTCAGGACCTCTTTTTATGAGCCGAAGTCTTCTTCGCCTGAAGAACGGTCCTCAGATCCGGCTTCGGCTTAGAAGACTTCGACTGAGAGTGTTGCGTCTGTTTCCATTGTTTATGTGGAGGTGCACGAGACGAAACACTCTGTTTTTGTTGCGCACGATATGAGGAGCTCGACGGCTGGGGCTGCTCACGCCCAGCAGCCCCAGGGGGTTGGACACGGCGAGGGAGAAACTTTTTAAATGCCTCCGCTTGCTTCTTTGATTCTTGAAACCTCTCGACGACCGCATTGACTGCGTCGCCGAAGAGACCAGAAGGCTCAAGCGGAGCATCTAATAAAAAAGCCCGGTCTTTTTCTCTTATTTCGGCCAGATTTAACCAAAGATGTCTCTCAGTAGCTACAAGGGCTGCCATAGACCGCCCAATTGCTCTAGCGGTCTCCTTTGTAGCTCTGAGAGACAGATCGGTGGCCCGACGAAGTTCTCGAACTTCATCAGGGCCAACTCCCTCACTCTTATCCAAATCCCCCAGCAAATCAGCCTGGTAAGCCTGGAGCACCGCCATAGTGTGCAGACATGCTCCAGCCTGACCTGCTGCCGTATAAGCTTTGCTCACTAACCCTGATGTTGCTTTAAGTGGTCTAGTGGGCAAAGCTGAGGCCTTCAGAGACGATGCTGGGCCAGGTGACAGATAGCTCGTGAGCGTCTGTTCAGCCTGGGGCATCGCCTCATAACCGTACTCTTTCAGCCCTCTTATACCTGAATATAAATGAACTTGAGGGCTGAAAAGACGTGATGAGTACGGTTTATCCCATGATCTAGATAATTCATTGTGTAAATCAGGAAAAAAGGGAAGGCCTCGTGGTGGAGATGATGTCGCTGAAGAAAGGAAACGCTCATCTAATTTGCTTTTAGGACGAGCGCTACTTTTCTCAGCTGGCCATTCAATATTTAATTTCTCTACAGCCCTAGACATCACATCCACCAGCTCCTCATATGCTGGGGAAATAGGTGGCGAATCAATTTCCCCAGTGTGTGTGCTTAAACTCTCCAAACTCATCGCATCAACCTCCTCAGAGGAAGAGCAATGAAGTAATGGAGGGCTCTCTCCCCGGGCGGAAGAAGTCGCAGAGCGGGCTTCCGACACCGGGGGGAGAGCACTGGATCCTCCGGGTAAGGAAGGAGAAAAGGCCCTCGGACCCGTCTCCAACCCCTCCGAAAGATCCTTTTGCGATCCCCAGGAATGCATTCTCCGTGCTGCCTCGGCAGCAGCGGGTCCTGCACCCTGAGGATCGCGAACCTGACCACTCTCGTCAAAGAGTGACAGGCGAGAACGGAGCATGCGAAGCGGAAGCATCTCGCAATGCTGGCACTCAGCCCCCTCGAAGGCTGAGACCGCATGCTCCATTCCCAAACAAATAAAACAAAGCTCGTGTGTGTCCCCACCCGTTAAATAACGCGGGCAGGGAGAAGCACACTGTTTGTACATTTGTTTCGCCATAACTCTTCCAATATAAATGCAACAGACAACAATAAATAGACAGAGACAGAGTAACACAGATCGCTTATCCGAGACAAGGTCTCGGATAACCGAGTCTCTCAGTTGTCCGAAGTTGCATGTTTTCGCCAGTACTCTGAGTTCCGTGACATAGCTGTCAATAGACTCACCCGACCTCTGGTTCTTAGTGAAGAAGCGATACCGTTCCACAGTTTCGTTCACACAAGGGTTGCAATGTCCATCAAATTTGTCGATAATGTCTGTTAACTTCCATGTCTCTCTGGCGGCGTCACTCATTAGTGTGTCCATTAATTCTCTGCCGCTTTCGCCAACAAGATAGCTGAACAGTGTCACTTTTTTCTTTTCATTGTCGTCACTCACGGTTAACTCCACATAAAGCATAAACTCATCCTTCCACGTCTTCCAGGACCTTGAAAGATCGTTGGTGTCCAAACACAATGTCTGCGGCGGCTTCAATCCTTCCATATTGCACACGGAGATGCTCACGGTTAGCAACTCAGCTAACGTCACCGGTACTACTGTCTCGTTAAATGGCCTCAGTTCACTACCGCTGCCACCATGTTATATTCTGGGCTTTATACTCACAGACTCCAGAATATCTTGTTTAACACCCAACGGGTGGTGGTTTATTAAGCACATAAACTTGTACACATACATAGAGACTTAACGGTGCAACCGCATAACGTGCGAGCCTCTGCGTGTCACCTACTCAACGGTCCGTGCTGCGACCACGATATTACCAAGGATCCGCATCATAGAACATTCCTAACATGCTAAACAATCACTATTGTTACACCGCCCATCCGTAAAACTCCAAGTGGACCTCTAGGTTGAAAAAGCGTCAATGCAAGTGAATGAGAGAAAATAATTATTTTCTGATCCCGTTTGAATTGTGCCATGAATGTGAACATATGTTGTCTGTGAATTTTTTATATAATTTCTCATGTAACGAGTTTGACAGTATATTGTATGATTCCTTGGCTAGCAGTTGTGGAATAGACATAACGAGAAAGACTACACGTCGCATATGTGACGTCACCGCATAACACATTTTCCCTCCACAAATCACGCGATAATGCGATAATCCAAGGAATTAGGTTGAGATGCCTGTGTGTTTTGTACCCAAATGTCACCATTCAAACAAAGGCATGTTTAGCGGGATCCGTGTGCTAGTGGTGGTGACGTACATCAAACGCGTCGAAAGCAGCGAAGAGTTGTAGTCCACAAAGTGCTCTCACACAAAGTCTAACCGTATGAAAATTCTACCCGCTAAATTGTAGCATTCTTTACACGAAAAATTAAATACAAAATTCACAGACAACATATGTTCACATTCATTGCAAAATTCAAACGGGATTAGAAAATAATTATTTTCTCTCATTCACTTGCATTGACGATTTTTCAACCTAGAGATCCAGCGGGGTGAGCGGAAGGGGCGGGACTTACCAGCTCTATTGGCTTTGTATGGCAGACAGTACGTTAGCCAACTAGTTTACGGTTAGACTAGGCTAGCTATCGATAACGTTACACTGAAGTTAATGCTCTGAATTCGCAGCTAATATCAAATCCATAACTTTTTGATCAAGTTAAAATTTCCAGGTCAACCACAAATAATTCCACTACCTTTTAATATCATCCGATAACTAGATTTGATATACACAGACACCATATTAGGAAAAAGGGGCGGGCTGATGCTGACTGATTTATTACACATCCATAAGAATACATTTGAGTCGTTATAGGCTCTGGTAATTATGGAGCATAATAGGAATAAAGTTGTGACAAAAAAATTATCAGGGAGGAAAAATCTGAGGGGGCACGGGCCCTCACTTTGAATGGGGATGACGCCACTGCTAGTGTACATCAACAAATTTGTATATTTAACACAACCCTTGTTGGTTCACTTTAAATCAGGGTCGGGTAAGAAGGCTTTGATGTTGGTGAGACGTGATGACTCATGAGTGACAGGGTTTTTACAAAGCCCCTAAAGGGACATGGTGTTGGGAAAAATTTGGGATGGGAGAATTTTTTTTCCCCCGATAAACTTTCGTTTCCTCACAAAACTTTTGCGTTCCCTCGTGAAGATATTTGCGTTCCCTTGCAAAATCTGTTGTGAGCTCGGACAAACACTTCCTGTTTTCTGCACTTTTCAGGCGGTCCCTTATTCGGACTTGTCAGCCGCCTGTTCAGATTTATATTATAAATTTATATTATAAAGCTCGTTTTGAGGAAAATTGGGTTGTAGCTTGCTGTCTACGTAACTATGATTGTAAATAGGTGTCATTTGTGTTTAACGTTTAGCTCGTGAATATTGATCCGGGAAGTTCGAATCTGTGAATATTGGCAACTTGAACCAGTAGCCCCTCAATGCAGTAGGCCTACATGAGATCCACGGGGAGGAGTCGGATCAAGATCCAAGGGGTGGAGATGGGTAGGATTAGGGGTGGGTTTAGGGATTAGGGGTGGGTTTAGGGATCAGGGGGCGGAGATGGGTAGGTTTAGGTATATGTAAGGTGGGAGGAGTTGGATCTGGATCCGACTCCTCCCCGTGGATGTCATGTTTTGCAGTGAGGACCATCTCACTTGAACTCGTAAGCACTGACCGCATTTCTGTAGATTTGAGTCCAGTTCAAACACTATGAAACGCTTCGTTGTTAATGTACGGAGATCTGAAACACTGCTAGCGGACATTAAACAGGAAGTGTCTGTCCGAGCTCATTACAGTTGCAAGGGAACGCAAATATCTTTGCGAGGGTACACAAAAGTTTTGCAAGGGAACTAGAATTACACCTTTGGTGGGAGATGACTCAAAATTGCAACTCTGAAATCAGAGCACAATAGAATGATTTACAGTAATCAAAATATGAGAATATACTATACTACCGCCCCTCTACGGAAAGCCTGGCCACTCCCTATTAAGTCCTATTGTACCGAATTTTGGTTGTAGTTCCACCAGAGTTCCACTGGGGGCGATCGTCCGAGTGCAAAATGAATGGGAGTCAATGGGGCTCTTTTAAATAAAGACTGATAAATTTAAATTTAAATAGTAAATAGTAAATTTAAATAGTAAATTTGTCTCTTTTACCCAATTGTCATTGAGAAATCTCAGATTTGAATGTAGGTTCTGCAAGTTCAACATGGGTTATAGGTCGAAAGTTGAATGAACGAGTGCTTATGTCCTTTCGATTTCTTACAGGTTGAGTTGTTGTTGCCCATAACACGCTAGCATTCTGCTAATGGACGCTGATTGGTCAGTGAAGGACTGATTACGACCAGAGACACCGCTTAATGGCATCGTGGCATCCGAAGCGGGACCAATGTTAAGGCAATAGGCGGACTGAACTCTCTCAAATGTATATACCATAGACTGTAAAAAAAGATATTTAACTTACCCGTGTCAGATGTGTAGTTGATGCCTCGAGAGAAAAGAAAGTGCAAAGCGCAAAAGCATAGACATAATAAATACATATAGACGCCCTATTGGCCGCTTTGGAACGTTGCTGCGATTGTGTTCTTATTGTGGAAAAAGCATTTTCTGTGATTGACCCGATTTTAGCAATAACAAAGATAACTGATGGATCCTTTATCTATGGTAATACGATATGGTACAACTACAATGCAGTGCAAATAGTAAATATAAGATACAGTGAGTAATAGTAAATAGTTGGTTCAGTGAATGAAGGATTGCCGTAAAGCAGGTTTCTGGTCGTACGATGTGTATGACGTCATTGACATTTTAAAAGACTTTTTAAAGCAAATAAGTGACTCTAAAAAATCTAACACCCAGTAATGTGTAATTTTGTTGCATCTTCTTTCGAATACAACATTCAAATTACTAGACAAAAAATTATATCCTGAGAAAAGTGGATTTTTAGGGGTATTGCTCCATAGACCTCCATTCATTCTGCACTCCGCCTGTGAGCGCCCTCATATGGACCTAGAGTGGAACTGCAATCAGTTCAGACCCCGGAAGTTTAATGTGAGTGGGAGTTCTCCCCATATTAGACATTCTCTGCTACTCCTGTCCAGCGTCAGGATATCTTTTAAACTGTCCTGGGCTGCGTTTCCCAGATGCATCGTAAGCCTTATCGCAGAGACCATTGGTGGCAATTGTTCTATGATCAATTTAGGCTTACGATGCTTTTGGGAAACGCAGCCCTGACTAGTTGACTACTTGACAGCTGCTGGACTTGATGGTTTTAACTGCAAAGTTCTATGTACTTCACAAAAGATGTAATGTAGTTCTGTCCGAAGTTGAAGTGCAACACAACGGTACAGTATAAGCACATTGTTGTTGTTTATTTTTTTGTAGTCGGATTATCATACATTATGTATAATGACACATCTTTTTGCTGTCATGGTGTGAAATGCTTATTACGTTGCTTTTTCGATCACTTTGGGCACTTTTTGCATTAGAAATTGGCTTATTCTTATACGGTTGACATTGAAAATGATGCACACTCACCATTAACATAAAGCCTGAGCATGATAGGGTAACAGTTCTTTTGTTTTGCTGTTGATGCATAGATGCTACTAAACATTTCCTTAGATGGTACTACTAGGGCTGAACAGTACAAAGCTTCTAAAATGGTTTTCACAGCTTTTCAGTCAATACTTCTTATTAAACTAACCTTTTTTTTTTCTTGGTAAGACTTTAAGTACAGTTTTATTTGTTAACATTAAATACATTAGTTAACAATTAACTTACAAAAACAATGAACAGTACTTCTAAAGCATTTATTAATCTCAGCTAGTTTAAACATTTACTAATCTTTTAAGTCCTTTATATTGTTCAATAATACAGACCAGTGTTTTTTTTATTTTTTTATTTAAAGACTTGAATGAGGAACACAGTGGTGGGACAAATAGCCTTACACAGCATATTAACTAGGCATTTTGATTTAATTAGGTTACATAAATAATACATTAAGTTTGGGTTATTTTTGTTAGAAATTGTCACTGTGAACATTACAAACACTTAAAATTACTATAGAGTAATTATACCTCAGATAAAAATTCACAAGTCACATTGTGTAACATGTTGGTTGTTATGAAGCACACACAACAAAGACTATCAGAAAGAAGTCTCTTATTAAAATCAGTCTTTATTAATCCACAAAACTCAGGAGATAAACACAACCAAGCAAACTGAAACACAAACAATACCGGACAAAGGAACTAAAAAGAACAGGGAGTACATTAATTATATTTATCTGCTAGTTATCATTAACTGCGTTAACCTTTTTAGTTATTTTACAATCTTTTAAACAAACATGAATATCACAGAATAGTTATATAGCCTTTTAGGCTGATTATTATGATGATGATGATTATGATTAAAAGTAGTATTAGGAACTATTTATTTATTTTTCACCAAAACTGGTAATAAGCAACACATCAAATGCAATTGTTATAAAACAGTTTTTATATTTGTGTCCATGAACCCCATAATGCATGTCTGAATTGCAGTTCTAAGTATGTAATTGCAAATGAACTCTGCACTTAAATCAAGGTTGTAAATGACCACCCAATATATCACATACACACAAACTGCAGATATTATGCATTTAAACCTGTTTTTCCACAATGAACCCAATTTTCTTTTCAAATCTTAGAATAGAGAAATTAAATTAAAGACCCTGCCGTTAGAGCCATCTAACTTTATTCAGCAATAGACATTTTCAATCTACAATTTATTTTTATGATTGCAACACACAGTATGTTTTAATCAATGTTTGTCCTGTGCTAACAAACGATTAAAAATACAGTAATGTTCAGAAAGTTGCATTAGACATTGATGATGTGTTACCAGAATCCTCCCTGTCAAAATAAAAGATGACTTATTTTTCATAATGAGAAATTACTAATATATATCAGTAAGATTTGCTCTTATCTAACTGACCTGCTGATTTTTTTCTTGTAGTAAATGAATCCAGCAGTTGCAATGATGATTCCCAGCACCAGACCAGAGGATCCAATAGCGATTTTATTCCTGTCAGACTCAGAGATAGAGGGGTCTGTGTAGTGCACACATAAATTTATTACCATCAATTTTAAAAGTGTGTAATATCACTTCAGTTTGTGTATATATCATATTAAATTTCACTTTTTATCTGAACTAAGACTTGTTGAAGTTAAGAAAATTAGACACTGTTACCCCAGTCGATGATCATGGGTTTAATTAAGCTGCCATGATCCACCATACAGGAGATCTTCTCTCCAGGTTTGGGAGTATATTCAAGATGGGAGTGGATCTGGTAGTACCAGTCCCCATCAGCCAGCTCCTCAGTAGACATTGCATCAGTGGTCATCTCTCTACCATCTCTCAGCCAGGACACTTTAATTTGTTCGGGGTAGAAGTCATATGCACTGCATACCAACACAGCAGGAGAGCTTCTACCAACCAGTTTCATTGACCTAAGCTTTATCTTGGGTTGCACTGAACATATAAGATACATTCAGAGTTAATTTTAAACAAGCTTGAGACAAGATGTTTTTTGCCACTTACCAAATTTATCAACAATGGCTGGGTAACCAATTTCTCCATAATGTTTGCACACATTTACCAAATTGCTTATATCCGACAAGATTTGTGGATCGTTGTTGCTCAAGTGTGCATGTTTCACTCCAATCTCAGTAAACCCTAGAAACTTTCCAAAAGTGCTGTTGAATTGTATTTGCACAGCTTTATTAAAGGAAATTGAATAAATGAGTTCCACATCACTAAGATCACGAGAAATGTAGGTGCATTGGAACAGTATAGAGGCATGATAACCATCTGGAAGGGGAAAAAAACAATAACATCATTATAAACATTTATAAATATTTTTTTCCTCACATATATAAAATATACACACACAAACACAAATCCTTTATTGGTAATAACAACACAATTAACAATAATCAAAATGAATTAAATCACAATTAAAATTTGTTTTTACCTGTCCCAGTGATCAGTATGATAATAAAAACTAAAAGCTTTGCTAAAAACATTTTACTCAACTCTGAGTATCCACACCGAAGTAGACTGAGGTGAGTCGTTGCCAAATTGTTAACTGTTGAACTATCTGAAATGTTAAAAGTTAACCGGCCAATCATGCATTACTGACTGTGTAATGGGGAGGGATCAATACTTCCTCTTTTAAACTACTGTGTGTGTTTGCTACTTAGGTAACTGTCCCACTGATGAAAATGGAGCTGTATATGTTCTTTCTCACCCTCACTGCGGTTTTATCCATTGAGAGTAAAAGTAAGTTTATTTTAGAGTACAAAACATAAGAGTGACACTCTCTATTCAATTTTATTTATGATGTCTATAATTAACTGATAAAATGTATAATGTTTTTGTTTATATTGTTCTTTTTTAGTACATAAGTCTTACCACCTCATTGGATGCTCTGATACAGAGAAAGAGGACATGTATGGTCTTGATGGAGAGGAAGTATACTACTACAACTTCAATACAAACAAAACAGTAGTGGTGCTACCAGAGTTTGTAGATTCTGAGCGTTTTGTTTTTTCTGAATATTTTGAGATAGGTATTCATAATTCACAAATATGCAAAGAATACCTAGCCATTGGTACTAAAGCTTATAAAAACCAAGCAGAACAAATGGGTAAAGCGCGCACACACACACTTTGTATATTTGTATATGGATGATGGATCAAGTTAACAAGTGGAAGCTGTTAAGCTGCTTAAATGTACTACTTAATAGAGATATTTTTTAATAATATAAAACTCAGTGTCATTTGCTATGTTCACAGACCCCCCTCAAACTTCCATCTATTCTAGAAATGATGTGGTTCTGGGTGTAGAAAACACCCTCATCTGTCATGTGACTGGATTCTTCCCTCCAACTGTCAGAGTATCTTGGACTAAGAACTATGTGATTGTGACAGAGAATGTGACTTTAAGCCAGTATCGGCCCAATAACGATGGCACCTATAACCTCTTTTCCACGTTGAAAATCATTCCATTGGAAGGAGAAATTTACAGCTGCAATGTTGACCACAAAGCCCTCCAGCAACCTCAAACCAAAATATGGGGTGACGTTTTTTCAAATAAGAATTGAGTGATTGGTGATACAAAATAATATAATATCAATATCAACATTTCCCAAATATTGCACAAATAATAATCATGTTGTTGTTTCTGTTTTACAGATGTAGAAGTTGTCCTGCCCGGGATTGGCCCATCAGTGTTCTGTGGAGTGGGTCTGACACTAGGCCTGCTGGGAATGGCAACTGGAGCTTACTTTTACAATAAAGCACAGACCGGCAGATCAAATATGGATACAAATATCAATTTAGATACAATTTCAGAGTGAATATGCCTGACAAAAGCTGTTAGCTACAGTATACATATTATGTATAATTGTTCACAGGTGTCCCTTGTCTTGTCATTAGTAGGCTATTGTGTGTATTTAAGCCCTCTTGTTTGCCCTGTGTCTTTGTTGTGTATTGATTGTTCCATGTCCAGGCTCCTGTAGTCTTGTTTTCTAGTCTATGTTCATATTCCTGCTTTAGTGTTGAGTTTTCATGCCTTGTCATGTTTTTGTTTTATGTTTGATTGTGTTCTTCTTGTAAATAAATTGCGTTTGGGTTCTCACCTCACTTGCCTTCAGTGGACAAATCATTACAGAATACTTGACCAAACATGGACCCAGCAATGCGTCTCTTCCGCCTCAGCCAAGGTCACCGTCCGATTGAAAAATATGTGGAAGAATTTTGTGAGCTTTGCCATGGGGTGGACTTGAACGATGCTGTCTTAAAGGACATGTTCCGCCATGGGCTTAAGGACATGCTTGAATACCTCATGCCAGACAACACCCCTCAATGGACTTTAATTCAATAGATCTTGCCCTTTTGTTGAGCGGCTGGTCCTTTACTGTGGGCTATGCCGAGCCTGAGCCTCGAGCCTTCGTCTCCAGCCAAGATGGCCGCCACCACGCCTGAGAGTTCATCTTTGGTCAAGATGGCCGCCGCCATGCCACCTGAGCCCTCAGACAAGATGGCCGCAGCCAGGTCGTCTGTTCCTGATTCTGAGTCTTTTTCTGAGGCTGTTCCTGTTCCTGAGCCTGAGCCTGTTCCTGAGTCTCCTGAGCTTGAGCCTGTTCCTGATCCTGAGCCTCTTCCTGAACCTGAGCCTGTTCGTGAGCCTGAGTCTGAGCCTATTCCTGAGTCTCGTCCCGTCGTGGTCACGTCTGTGTCTCGGACGAGATGGTCCGCCCAGGCCCTCTGAACCGTCTGGTCCGCCCTGGTCGCCTGCACATCCTGCTTCGCCCTGGTCACATGCACATACTGCTTTGCCAGGATGTCACGTTTTGGGTTTGTTTCTTGTTCCTGTCTTTTGTCTGTCATGTGATCCCCTGGTTTTAGTCTTGTGATCCTAGCATGTGTTCCCTTGTCTGTTGTGTCATGTTGTAATTGGTTTATTGTTACTTGTTCACGGGTGTCCCTTGTCATTAGTATTGTGTGTATTTAAGTCCTCTTGATTGCCCTGTGTCTTTGTCGAGTATTGATTGTTCCATGTCCAGGCTCCTGTCGTCTTGTTTTCTTGTCTATGTTTATGTTCATGCCTTGCCATGTTTTTGTTTTATGTTTGATTGTGTTCTGCTTGTAAATAAATTTGTTTGGGTTCTCACCTAACTTGCCTTCAGTGGACAAATCATTACAATGACTAAAACGCTGAAAGGAAGCTGACCAGCCAAGAATGGCAGTCACATGATCTAAGGGAAGCTCACATGCGCAAACATGAGAGAGAAATTAGAAAACTTCCGACCAGAATTAACTAAGATTTGGGAACGCCAATAAAAGATGACCAAGAGAGCCCTCTGTAGATTCACACTTATAGAGGGGAGAAAGAAGGATAGAAAGTAGTATAGTTGGGGTGTGGGTCCTGCCAGTAAGTTAAGGCTCTACAACTGGCAGACCAGTAGCTAGTAATGTTGAAAATTGGGCAAACCCAAACAACCTGGCGACCTAGGCTTACACACATGTAATGTATGTACTCTGAAGCCCCAAACAAATGACAGCACAATAGAATCTAATGTTTTGAATAACTTTTTGGGCAAGTAAATCAGTAAATTTTGAAAGGATACTAGAATTTAGGCAATGTCACCATCTTAATTAGCGTTTACATGCCCCATCATTGATAATTGGTATGGATCCTCCAGCATTTTATAATGCTCTTTAGATTTTCTAGCATTGTTAAATAATTAAGCTATATATATATATATATATATATATATACTTAGGATTTATACAGTATCCAAGTTATGTATGGCTATTTTAAAAAGGTAGACTATGCATAAAAATGGAATCAATGTTGTTTGTCACCACAAAAAATTCACTTTTTTTTTTTTTTTTTTTTGCCAATTTACTAAGTAACCAAAGAGTTTACTGAATGTTTCCAATATATTTAACAAGAGAAGGATATACTGTTCTGGGTTGTTGAGATACAGATATCTGTGTATAGGGAAATATGATTCGTAATTCAGCCTAAATTTGAAATTAATAGTTTGTTTTAATGGCAATGGCGAGAGGTTAAATTGCAATTGCAAAAAAAGCAGGGGATAGAGAGGACAGCCTTATCAGGTGCCTCTGTGTAATGGGAATTGTGTTGACTTATTAAAATTGGTGAGAACCAAAGCCCTAGGATGTGCATACAACATTTTCAACCAAGAGGCAAAGGTTTCACCCAAATCAAATTCTCTAGTCACAGCTCAATTAAAATATCATTCAATTTGGTCAAACACCTTTTCTGCATCCAAGGCACGAATTGCAACGCTATAGCTTGGGATTCAAATTTGGTACATAAGATGTTCCTTAAACGCCTGGCATAAAAAAGGAGAGAAATGGCCAAAACCACCTTGATCAGGGTGAATAATTTTCCCAATACGGTTATTTAATCTATTAGCCAGAATCTCTGTAAACATTTTAAGATCAGAGTTCAAAAGAGCTATGGGTCAGTATGACAATGGATCCGTTTTTTTCTTTATCTTTATTTAAGAATTAAATAAATATTTGCATAATAAAAGGACTGAGGGAGTTTGTGTTTGCTAAATGAGTCATTAAACATCCTCAACAACAACAACAGAGTTCCTGCACATATCTTTTATAAAATTCACTCCCGAAGTCATCTGTACGGTGGTCGAGATAGCTCAACGTGCTGCAACTGAAGAAAACACACGCAAACAGAAAAACACCCGCAATTTAAGAAACCATCTTCATCAGTTTCACCACACATGTGTGCTCCAAATACTCACAACACAAGCAAATACAAAAACGCGCTGCAAAAGTTCACAACACAACCAAATATAGAAACGCTGCAAATAGCACAAACTACAACAGAAATGTTTCCAGGGGACCCCAATAATTGACGAACCCGGCTGGGACATGCGTATTGCTTGTGAGCATCCCATGCCCTACTCCCTTTGAAGGGCAGAGACCTTGAAGTGGGGACTTTGGAGTGAGCTGGACATTGCCATTGTATAGCCGTTTGGAACGCACTTGGTGAAGGGAGCAATGAAAGACATCATAATTTCTTCATTTTCACCTGGGATGTTCCAATGACAACACAGCATGGTGTCCATCAGCTGAATAGCTTGTTATACGAAAGAAATCTCTCATTATTGCTGTCAACATAACTGTTGCAAATCAATATACATTTTATACAAAAAGTTTTTAAAATATGTGTTATATATCTGTGTGTGTGTGTGTGTGTCAACTTTAAAACTTGCTGTCTCATCTTTGGAACTGCATTGCCTAACACTTCTTATGAAACTTATTTAAACATAACATGACACAAATTGTACAACGTAACTGATGTATAGATTAATAACTTACACTCATGTTCTTTGTCTCTGTCTATTTTTCTGCTCATTGTTAACTCTTCTTTTCTCATTTTAATTCTAATGACATTGAACATGTTGTTAATATATTTTGTATATTGTATACAAAGTTATATGTCATAAACATGTCATCTCTGTATGTTTTGCAAAAAACTTCAACTTCTTCACTTATTGGGGTCCCCTGGAAACATTTCCGTTGTGGTCTGTGCTATTTGCAGCGCATTTCTGTATTTGGTTGTATTGTGAACTTTTGCAGCGCGTTTCCGTATTTGGTTGTGTTGTAATTATTTGGAGCACACGTGTTTTAAAACTGATGAAGATGCTTTCTTAATTTGCAGGTGTTTTTTTTCTATTAGCATGCGTTTTCTTCAGTTACAGCGCATTGAGCTCTCTCGGCCACCATTTGGAAATCCAAAAAACGTCCAAACCCATCTAAGGTTAAAAATTTAATTGATGTTCAACAAATAAAAAATAGATATAATACAGATGAGCAAACGATAAAGCTTGGGTTGCTGAATATTCGATCCCTTACTTCAAAAGCGCTCATAGTTAATGATATGATTTCAGATTATAACCTAGATGTGCTGTCTTTGACAGAAACCTGGCTAAAACCAAACAATTACATTACTTTAAATGAGTCCACCCCCCAAGATTACTGTTATACATGAGCCTCGTCCGAAAGGCAAAGGGGGAGGTGTTGCTGTAATTTATAGTAATATTTTCAAAACCACTAAGAAATCTAGTTTTAAATATACTTCTTTTGAAGTGTTGGTGCTTAATGTAAAATATATAGTGTAAATGATAAATCACGTTTGAGAATTCTGCTGGCTACTGTATACAGGCCACCAGGGCACCATAAAGATTTTATCAAAGAATTTGCTGACTTTCTATCAGAATTAGTATTGACTGCAGATAAAGTACTAATTGTTGGTGATTTTAATATACATGTAGATAATGAAAAATATGCATTGGGATTGGCATTTAAAGACATTGTAAACTCAATTGGAGTTAGACAACACGTGTCAGGACCTACTCATTGCCGTAATCATACTCTAGATCTTTAATTATCACATGGAATCAATGTTGATGGTGTTGAAATTCTGCAGCAGAGGGCGACGATATCTCAGATCATTATCTAGTCTCAAGGCTGCAAAGCCAACTCCGTGTTACAAGTATGTTAGACCTATCACTTCTGCCACAAAAGATTGCTTTATCAATAATCTTCCTGATCAGTTTCATCATCTCAGCATCCCAGATAGCTTAGAAGAACTTGATATTGCAACAGAAACTTTTAACTTTCTCTTTTCCAGCACTTTAGACACAGTTGCTCCGTTGAGCTTAAAGAAGATAAAAGAAAATAGTCCAACACCGTGGTACAACGAGCACACCCGGGCCCTTAAGAGAGCAGCCAGAAAAATGGAGCGAAACTGGAAGAAAACAATACTAGAGGTATTTCGGATTTCATGGAAGGAGAG